CTCACAAGCCAACCTCTGCTCCTCCTCCTCCTTGGTTCAGCCCTAGCCTAAGGCAAAACCCTAGACTTTCTCCCTTTATCTCTCTCTGTAATTCTCCCTGTAACTCTCTGTTACTCTCTCTGTTTTTCTCTCTATCAACACTGTACGTATATAGGGTTCTCAACCCTTTTTGAAGACATACTACCGTATATATATATAGGCACTAATCAAAACCCTAAGCCTAATCTTAATCCACCATAGAAAACCTAATTGAGGCCCAGTTTAGTCGGCGTGAGATAGTAAGAGACTAAACCCTATTTTTCATTACAACTAGGAATATTCCATTAATCCAATTAATTCTAATTAACCAATAAAACATTTACACAATTAAAAACTATTTAATTTAATTAAAGAAAACAAAAATACAAAGAAATAATCAGACAAGTCAATTAAATAACAATTTATCAATTAAATCAATTAAAAATACAAGTAAAGAAAACAATCTATTTAAATCCACAAATCAATTCAAACAACCCATCATTCAAATTCCACACATAGCAACATAAGCACTTAAAAATAATAAAATAAATACTGAAAACAATAAAATAAATAATAAAATTCCGATTATATCCCTTTCAAAACTAGGGGTATTACAGAAACCTACTTCGGGTCAAACAAAATCCTTAGGTCACAAGAAAAAGAATAAATCAAATAATTAAATATATAAATAAAAATTAACTAGAAAAAAGGGGGAAAAGACATGATCATCACAATTTTATAGCATTTAAATGATCACAAATTAATCTTGTAATGTTTCCAAATTTCAGCATTTTTTTAATTTTTTCAGAATTTTGTTGACGCAAGGGTATTTTCGTCCTTTCACATTTTGCGTGCGGGAATTTAGTTGAGCTCACGTGCATTTGGTGTATTTTAATTTATGTGGATTAAGTGGTATTTGTTGGTGGTGTAGTGTATTTGTGTGGTGTAAATTTTAAGGCAAAAGAAAAAGAGAAGAGAAAAGAAATTGGGTGGTGGGACCCACCACTATGCGCAAGTGGTCTAGAGACCACCTCACTTTTCTCACTTCCTCTCTCTCTCTCCGCGTAATTCTCTCCCTCTCTTCTTCTTCTCTTCATTTTCTTCTCATTTAGTTTCAAGCTTTGAGATTTGATTTCTCTCTCGATCTTTGTCGGATTAAGGTGCCGTTTGAGGCAAAACGAAGCTCACGGCGAGCTCTACGCACTAGTACCAGAAATTTCAGATTTGGTGTACCCTTTGGAGTTCGAAATTTAGGACCCATTTTTAAGGGTTTTGGTGCAAACTTGAGGTAAGGGCTCTTAATCCACAACTTTCTTGCTCCTAGATGAATTATATCTTCTAAATTGTTGCAATAAATGTTTATTGGTACTAGTTATAGGTTAAAGAAATTTGAGCATGTATATGTGATTATGTGAGAATGTGTATTAAATGTTTTATATGGAAAACATGTCTATGTGATGATTTATATATGTTTCTTATGCTAGATGTGGTGTTGTATTAAAGCATGTTGAATTGCTTGAGAATCTATGCTTTACTTATTTTAAGTGAGTTTTGAAATGATAATTATAATCATGATATTGATACACTCATGCACTTACATTGAGCATGAATTGGGAGAATTTGTTTTGGAACAAAAATGGGAGTTTTGGGAGAAGGGTTTTGGAAAAACCCGGTCGCTGCGGGGTTACCAACGGGCTGGAGGTTAATATAGCCTAGAGGGGACTAGGGAATCGCCCTAGCGTGGTTGAACTAGCTGGGCCCCATAATGACACCGCGGGGTTACCAAGGGTCAGGGACACTAGCTAATCCTCCTCTCGTGTCGCGGCGGGGTTACTAAAGGGCGGGCTGTATTAACAGTTTGAAAGTATGGTTTTGAGAAATGAAAATGGGGTGCGACACTTGCATGTATTTGCATTCCTTGTCATTGCATTCTTTGTAATTTAGTTGGTTGAAACGTTGTGCTACCCTAACATTGCATGACTCCCCATTTCCTATTGGCCTATTCTTTATTTGGATTCACAAGGATACAAGATGTGTGTCTTAAGTGTCACCTGCTGAGCTTTATGGTCACCCTACTATATATATGTCTTTTTTCAGGTTTTGGGAAAGAACCGATAGACGACAATCCACCTCAAGCTTGAGAGACACAAGAAGATTGTTTTTGTTACTTTTGCACCTAGGCCAATCATTTGTGTAGGTATAGTTTTGAGAATGTAAACAAAGTTGTATATATGTTTATAGCCTTGTAAATTGAGAAAGGAACTCACTTTTGTTAATGTAAATGAAAATATTGAAAGTATAGTGTTTATACATAATTCTATGTAATTTGATCAATGATGTTGTAATGTGAGCACGGGTTAATTTGTTCGTTTCTAATCACAGCACGACTCACGATAGATGATTTTTATTGAGTTTGAATCATTTCCAAGTATTCTTTTCAGTTTCCCCTCTATTCTCTGAGCAAAGCAGGTCAGCCTCAGATTCAAGTCCCGGGATCTCCATTTCGGTCGACCGAAATGGTGCATCGGTCCACTAAAATAGAATTCTTCACTCTCAGGATCTCACTTCGGTCAACCAAAATGAGGTTCGGTCAACTGAAGCAATTTTTGCTGCTCTCGGTATCTACCCTTTGGTCGACCGAAATAGAATTTCGAATGACCGAAGCTCCACTTCGGTCAACCGAAATGAAGCTGAATGTTGTTGCTCCATTCTTCTCTTCGGGTATTTATCACTTCGTACGTTCTAAGCATCCATGATCTTATTTAGAAGTTTAATTTTAGTGAAATAATGACATTTCAACTCTCGAAATGATAGGTTTAGCGTCGACGACCCCGGGTTCGAGTAAGGACTCGTGTAACGGTTCGGGCCTCCGGGTTCAGGTGATTACAAATCTAAACAATACCATTTACATAGGTCATCAAAATATTGCATGGAAATATAATACAATGCATAATCGCCCCCAAACTTGGTCTCTACCGACCCTAACTCACATAAAAAATTGCTAACCGACTTTACCAAGGCAAGATTAATAAACTATCCCTGGTTCCAAATCAGGTAACCATTTGGGGCCTAGTAATTAAGTTTACACGTCCTAAACCGGCACGTGCTCCCTCTGGTCGAATTAGCACCGGACTCGCGAAATCTGATTTATTGTACAAAATCCATTTCATACCCTTTCTCATTTCCCTTTCCTACCATGCCATGCATATGCATCAATCTCATCAATTTCATTTCAATTTTACTAAGATAGCAACAATGACATGAATATGGCATTCTCTAGTAAATCAACTTAACATGGCATTTCATAGAAATTAAATACAATAATAGCATTTTCTACAATAGAGTCACAAGCATGACATCCTCATTTGATTCAATCACAAGCATCCTCCTCATCAAAATCATATCATCACAAGTCATGCTAACATTCATTATTTAAGTACTTTGCACAAAAGCCATGTTATACACAATTTTAGCATGAAAAGAAATACATCTTTGCACCACACACTAGCCTGCTTTCTTTAATTCAAAATGCCATCATTTTAACTCAAAAATTTACATACAAAAGAGTATTCAAAAGAACTCAAGTAGATATGTTCAATGAAAGGCAAAGTTTAGAGTATTAGAAATCCCTACCTCAAGTGTGCTAGCCAAACAAGCCCTTAGGCCAACCCCTAATAAATTCCCCAAACCATAACATCAACGGTCTCAAATGAAATCTCTCTCCAAGCTCTTTAACTTCTCCTTCTCAGCCTTCATCAAAATCTTACTCCAACCTCTCTAAAATCAAGCTTGAAGCATTGTAGTATATAGATGTATATAGATATGGAGAGAGAAAGAGAAGAGATAGAGAACAAAACTGCTTGGCCGAAATGGGAAGAGGAAAGAGGGGTTGGTTTGGTCTTGCAAATGACCTCATGGTCGTAAGTGTGCCACTTGTCAACCTCTTAATGATCCTAGCTTTTTACTAAGTTACTCATTTGCCCTTACTTAACCAATGCAATGCCATCCATATACCCAAAATATCTTCTCAATGTATAGATATATGTATATGTATATGTGTGTGAATAGATCACAATGCCCCTCATTGCAATGGCAAAACCGGGAGAAGTTCCCGAGGCCAAAAATCGTCTTGACTTCTGAAAATATTCCAAAAATGATCTCGTCAATTCTAATTGGACTGAAATAATTAAAGATATATTTCTAAAACTCTCAGATTGACAAATGCCCTAAATGGCCCTCGGGACCCATAAAAAAAAATTCAAAAAAAAAAAAAATCAGAAGAATCTGGGACAATACAAACTCGGTCCTCATAGAGGGTAGAGAAGAGAAGAGGAAAAATGTGAGAGTGAAAGAAGAAAAGTGAAGAGAGAATTGAAGGTGCAAAGAGCGCTTTAAGGATGCCTTGAGGATGATCAGTAGAGTGATGTAGTCTCATAGAAATGTGAGTATATGGGGGTAGAGATGATGTTATGTGGTAAACACCGATAGCGAGCGGAGGTCTCATGGAGTGGTAGATCGTGGAAGGCTTGGGTATTTGACACCATGCCTTAGTATTGAGATTGTGTGGACATGATCTATTGTTCGAAATATCTACCGATATAATAGTGAGTGTGTGTTATTTACCGTTGTAATTTCTCTTCCGCATGTAATAATGAATGGTGAAATCTCTTCTCTATGTGGACATAGGCCAGGTGGGGCTGAACCATGTTAAATATTGTGTGTATTTGCATGCATGTTTGTATCTTTTGTATTCTGTGTGGTGTTTAGATCTCCATTTTGTTTGTGTTGCTTCCGTTGTACTGAATGAAGGAGGGATTAATTCCTAACTGTAATCATTGTGGATAATCAATCAATCACAAAAATTGGGCAAGTTAACCGATTCACCCCATGCAGGCCATTTAGAGTACTAATAACAAGTTATTCAACAGAACAGCTTTGACACCGCGCTACACACAAATAATTTGAATTTTTCAAGTGATATGAGAATGAAACTGCTATACTATATTGCATTTTTCTTGTTACGCCCATCCTTGTGGCAATAGGTTACTCTTGATTAATATGTACAACAAGAAATATTACATGCAAAAAAAAAAAAGTTACGAACTTTGAAAGATTATTGAGGGTCAATAATGCAACTATATCTCATATTGATCTATTAGTCCGATTTGCTAATAAAGAAAAGAGGAGACTATCGCCCATCATCTAGTGCCACTATAATCTGGTCCCTTATGCTATCATACCCAATAGTTGTACTTGTAGTACAACCATTATGGCCATCAACACCAACTTTGTAGCCGTTTGAAGGTAGACTGTGAATAAGCAATTGTTCAGTCTCTTCAGTATACAAATCTACTTCAATCAATGGATGCCTCTCCATCATTCGGATAATTCCCTCTAGCTCCGTTGCGACTTCCTTCATGGTAGGCCTATCCTCTCCATTTACCCTTAAGCACCTCTTTGCCAGCTTAGCAACTTCTTTGAGCTCATCAAAACTTCCATCATTCAACATTCTTTTGTCAAGAATATGAAACAAGCGATCCTCTTTCATCGAAGAAACAAAGTACATTGCTAGGTTCCTATCTTTCTCTTGCCTGTCAAAAGAAATGGCCTTCTCTCCAGTAAGTAGCTCAGCAAGGACAACTCCAAAGCTATATACATCGCTCTTCTCAGTCAATTGGCTTGAATGGAAGTACTCTGGATCCAAATATCCAAACGTCCCTTGCACCAACGTGGTAAGTTGAGTATGACCCAAAGGGACCAACCTTGAAGCTCCAAAGTCGGACACTTTTGCAGCATAAGTATTGTCGAGTAGTATGTTGGTACTCTTAATATCTCTATGAATGATTGCAGGCGAAGTTGCTGAGTGCAAGTATGCAAGTGCTCCAGCAGCTTCGGCTGCTATCTTCAAACGGATTTCCCATGAAACTAAGGTGGCGCGGTCTTCATTGTGAATATGGTCAGACAGTGTTCCATTTGTGATGAACTCGTAAACTAGTAACGGGACTTCTGTCTCTAAACAACAACCTAAAAGCTTCACCACATTCCGATGGTTGATTTGGGAAAGAACAACCACCTCATTGATGAATTGTTCAATCTGCGTTTGATCACTTACTTTGGATTTCTTGATTGCAACAATTCTATCATCTGATAAGACCCCTTTGTAAACTGTTCCAAAGCCACCTTGACCTATTATTCTAGTTTCTTCGTAGTTGTTGGTAGCCTTTTTTAGGTCTTCCGCAGTAAAGATTCTAGCTGTTTCGACTGAACCTTCATGTTTTGAGAGTTGTTGTTGAAGCATTATTCCACCATTTTGCTGGAAGAACTTTTCTCTGAGTTTGATGAGATTTCTTTTCCTGAGTATCCAATATACCCAACCACTGCCCACTACAAGTGCAAGAAGGCCTGTGCTTATACCTGAATTTAACATGAATGAAAAGTCACTACCAATTCAATCCATTGTCATAGGGGGAAAAACATTACTAAGAAATATCAATCCAAAATATAACAAATGTAGGTTTAAAATTTTAATAAATATGACCGAGTTTAGAAAGCAGGATTTCAATTCTGAATTGTGTTGGTTCTTGAAGAATTTTTATTTTGTTTTTTTCTTCTTTCATACAAAACTCACACACCCATATGTCGATCCCTCTTTTTCCACTTCAAGGGGTAGAGACACCATTAGGCTAGATCTGGGGAATGATAATCTCAGTACTTGGTAGTTTATTATGGGTGTTTCAATTATAAATAATTACACTTGAAAATACAGAAGAAATCAAGTAATTTTAGTCTTTTTTCAATTTTAATAATATTATTATTTATTTATTTATTTGTTGTTTGGATGCCAGGATGACTACGAAAACAGAATAGGAAAAATCAGCCTAAAATCTAAATAACATATGTGATTTTGCTTCAGAGATTGATTTTAAACCTCAGTGGACAATTAATAGGATTCCACTTTAATTTGACAATAACATATGAAGAAAAGTTAGGTGAATGATTATGGCCAAGAAACCCATTCTGAAAAATAAACGCCCATATTCTTGAAATTTTCATTCCATGTACTTCACAAAAGCTATTGATGAATATCGGTTACGTTTGTTGACCAAACATCGGAAGTCTAATGTGATTTTTCCTCCTAATAGTACCAAAAATAATATACAAGCTAAACACCAAGTTGCTCAATATGCGTTAACTCGGTCAACATTTTGAATATAAATGTTCTCACCTACATTTAGAATAGAGGATTTGAATGTGTTTAATGGTAGAGTAGGGTTGTTCTAAGAGATCTGACACCACATACATAAACAAAATAAATAAATAAATAATTTCTTTAACAATTCGATCAAAACTATTCAGTCTAGGATCAGGCTCATTAGGATGTTATTATATTTTAACCTTTTAACAATAATTTTTAAATATGGTTGACATTTCTTGTGCATATGATAGAGGAAGTTGTTAACAAGTTACTATCTATCCTTGTTTAATTATCAAAGTCAAAGAAAGATGAAATTACAAGGAACTAAACGTATAATTATAGTTTCTTGCTTACGTTATGCAGAAGATGAACTTGACAATAACCGAGTGATATACAAAAATAAAAAATCACTCGTAAATAAACATATCAAAAACTTACCTAAAGCAATATGAATCAAGGTAGATCCTTCAGATTGATCTTCGGGATAGCATCCTGTTCCGTTTTTTGTTCCATCGCCTTGGTACCCTTTTAGGCAACCACATGAAAAAGTCCCAGGCAAATTCGTGCATGTGCCGTATGTTCCGTTGCAGGGTTTTGAAGTTTCACATTCATTGATATCTGAAAATAAAAAATAAAAAATGGTGGGCTTGCATTTGGTACACAAGAACAAATTTCAGACTAACCGAGAAAAAAGAAGAAAGAGCACGAGAACAACAAATTACATGCTCAAAAACAAATTTCATGTTCAACCAACAAAGATATATTTAAGATGAAATATTCCTACATATATACTAAACCAATGTATATATGTTACCTTGGCAACCATCAATGAGATAAGGGTTCCCTTGATAACCTGATGTGCAACTGCAACGATACCCAGGTCCGTTGGTTGAATTGAGGCATTGGCTATTAAGGGCTTGACAAGCATAGGTTGATGAGTTTTTCATAGCTTCTTCACATGTCTCATTTCCAACAGCCCAATCAAGCACCACAGGGAAAGTCTCTCGCTTTTGCAAATCCTTCAGATCCAAAGATGAGAACCTAAAAGCGGCTTCTTCGACTACGAAAGCATAACCACACGGATTAAAATCTCTTACAAGAGAATGATTCTTCAAGCTCGTGACAGCCATTTCAAAATCCTTGACTCCCTGCGGGATTGCAGTCTGGCAGCATCCGACACCCGCGCATGACCCGTTCGTCACACTCCCTACATGATCACACAGTGACAAACACCCAGTTGTGTAGTTCTCCCCCACAGTACCTACAACAACAGCCACTGTGTCACACCCAACCGCCGTAAACTTGTTCAGTGTGGTGGAGATGAAAAAATATCTCAGCTGAAGGAACGCCGTCTGTGCTTCTGGCAAACCAGTCTGGTTGTAGCAGTCTTGTGCTGTGTAAGACGAGACGTGTATTAGGCCATCGAGTGATACGTTAAGTACATGTATGTTGCTTAGCTCCAGAAATGGTTGGGGAGGGTTGAAATGTGTTTCGTTACAAGTGATGAGGAAGGAGGGGTCGAGGTAACAATCAGGGGTTGTGCCGAACGGGAAGGGGATGCTAAGGTTTCCGCAAGTGGTGGCGCAGCCTGGCTTGGTCTGAGATGCTGCCGTTGAAGGTGTTGCTGATAAAATTGTTCCAACCATAGTGAGTTGCACAAACAATATTGCAAAACCCATGTGCAATTAATTTGATGAAACTCTCTCTCTTTAATTATAGGGCTTGAATTGGTTTCACTTTTGTAGGGACAGATCAATTCTAATATGTTCCACATTTATGGAGACTTGGTCTTGGCATCTAGACTCCAAAGTGAAAACCATCACAATTGTCTTTTCTTTTTTTTTTTTTTTTTAATTTTGAAAAGTAAATAAATATTATTATTAATAAACTTTGAAAGGAACATAGTTAGCCCAGGTTAATCAAAATACAAGCCCAAAGGCAGCCCCTGAGGAGCAACAGAAATAACGAAAGCCCAAGCAGGACGCAACACAAAGCTGTGAACATAGAGAAGAAAACTCTCCCAACAGAAACTAAATAGTGTCTGGAGGCTTTGCCAGAGGACGGATAACGGAGGCTGGTAGCTCCCACTCTTCCATGATACTCCTGGAACTCGGCGGATAGGATTTGTAGCAGAATGAATTAATTGTGTTCGAATTAATTTGACTATTTTTAATTAAAAGTCTTTCTTTATATGACAAAGTATTGGTTTGGCAAATGTTGAGTCATATATAATGACAGACCACATAAACTATGAATATTTTCTATTACGGATTACCAAGTCAATTTCCAAAAACTTGTGTCAACCGGGCTCAAACAAATAAATAAATTAATAGGACCTTTGAATAAGAAAAGTTGATTGATTTGCTTACTTCACATTAGGATGGTTAGTTGTTTTATATTTTGTTTTTTAGTTAAAGTGGTTAGTTGTTTTATAACCTCAAAAAAAAACATTATGAATTTATTACACTAGTAGGACACTGATGGACACATCTACCAATATTCTAGAGTTCAAATAGGGGTAGTTAATATCTAGCTCACATACTACTAAAGATAGAACTGTAAATGAATCAAATATTTGACGAAACGTTCAAGCCCGGCTCATTAAGAGAGCTAAGTTTGTTCAATAAACTAATCTCAGATAAAATTTTTAAACACATACTAATAAACGAACCAATCTTAAACAATCTCTAACTTAGTTGTATGTTCACGAAAGTGTTTGTAAACGGACTTGTTAATAAACTAGTTAGGGCTAGAGAAGATTATAAAAATAATTTTATATTTTTATGCTATGAAGACTTAGCCAACATATAATAGGCCCATTAAATATTTAGTTTTTCTTTTTAATTTTAAATGTAAAATTCAACCAAACCCAATCTATTTTCATCATTCATTCATTTTAAAACAAAAATCATGTGCATTTATCTGATACAACCCACCCCCACGTTTTATTAAAGTCTCTCACTAATATCATTTTCACTTTTTGTAAAACAATCATTAACCCTAGCCGTAGCGGCAACGCCCTCAACGGTTTACCAAGGAACACCAGACTCCATAAAGACTGCAACCACTTGATGTATTTTATCATCTAATCTTAGCCCCTCACTTTCTCTTTTCTTATCTTACCTCTCTATTTTCAGTCATGAGTAGTAGTCCATCATGGTGAAGACTGAAGATCTATAAATAGGTTTCAACGATGATGTCTTAAGATCGGTGCATAGGATTCGATGATGATTTTTGGTATATACATGGAGAATGTTTATGTGGATTACAGGTAAATGACTCGAGCTCTATTCAAGCCGTGCTTGAGCTCGTCAAACAGCGTCGAGCCCAGCTTGATTATGGCTCAGAGCCAGGCTCGAACAAGCTAGAACATGAGTAGGATTTGCCGAGCAGAGCCTGAACACTGCAAAACTCGGTTCAGCCCTAACTAAAGCACTCGGGTGCTCTACCCTCTATTCTCTTATATAAAATTACAAAAACATCCTCACACAATGTTTGGTTCCTAATTTTTTAATCTCATAAGTGTCCTTTTTTATTTACACACTCTCTCTGTCACACATTTTCCTTCTATAAACTACTACTAAGATAGAACACACAGAATTAGAGATGCATACGGTCTGGTTCGGTATGGTTTTTGGTGAAACCGGAATCGTTTCCAATGATTCATAGAAATTGAATCCACTGATTCATAGAAATTGAAACTAGAACCGAAATCGTTGCAACATGGAACCAGTTCCACGGTTCCAATTCCCTTTTTTATTTTTAGCAATACCTTGACCGTGCTAAGATGAAATAGACAAAACAATCATGGCCATTAAGCAAAAAACAAAAATAATACAACCCAAATAATCATATATAAATATATAGATAAGTGCAATAAGATCCGGATATTGTATCATTAATATGTCACATGCAAGTTTGTAACATAACAAAAACTATTATAACTTAGGTGAGCTAAAATACCAAGTCTTGGGAGTATCTGTTACCCTTTTACACATCACCAGCACATGAACATGAGAGCTAGGTGGTGACTACTAAAATCGTGATCGTTGACTTTCCAGTTTCCATGCGATGGCTTGCTCCTAAGATGCCGGCCTATCCATTCGTTGTACATTTTGATATATAATGTAGTACATGAAAACATACCTATATATATATATTTATTATATTACGATTTTGATTTTTAATTGACATGTTTTACATGAATATTCTTCCAATAAGATTACAACAGCATATAATCGAAGTATTTTAAAAAGTTTACCGTCAAACAAACATCAACAGGTATATATATTAGTAAGTATATAATAATAAAAATATATAATTATTAGTATGATTCTGGTTCCTAACTGTTCCGGTTCCATAGTCTGGAACCGGAACCGGATCTTAACGGTTCCAAAAATTTGGAGCTGGAATCGAAGTACCGGTTTCGATTCTTATTTCTAACGGTTTTACTGGTTCTTTGTGCACCCCTTACTATTATAACTTAATAGAGCTAAAATACCTAGTCTGGGGGGTATCTGTTACCCTTTTACACAAAAGACCAGCTCATGAACATGAAAGCTAGGGAGTGAGTAGAATCGTCGTCCTTGAGAACTTTCCATGCAATGGCTTGCTCGTAAGACACCGGCCTGTTATTCATAATGTATTTTGATATATAATATAGTACGTGAAAACATAAATTTATTATATATATATATATATATATATATATATATATATATATATATATTACGATTTTGATTTTTAATGGAGAGGTTTTACATGAATATTCTTTTAATAGGATTACTGCAACATATAATCAGAGTATTTTAAAAAATTTACAACCAAACAAGCATCAATAGGTCTATATATTAATAATTATATAACTAAAAATAATAATATATATAATATAATTATTATTAATAATTATATTATTACTTTGAGTTTCTATTTTTATGGCACTCTACTAACATTAATCTTTAGACAAAAATACCCTTTTAAGTTATCTAATCTTTCTTCTTCTCTCCTCTTTTAATCGAGGATGTGTGGTTATGTGAATAGATTTTGAAAAAGGAAAAAAGTATAGATAGGATAATTCATTTACAAGAGATGGATGGATTCGGAAAAAAATAAATAAATAAATAAAAAGAGCGAGAAAAAAAAAAATCCAAAAAGAATAAAAAGAAAGGTAAAAACAAAAGAAGAAAAAATTGATTATATATTTTTTCCTTTTTTGTTTTTTCCTAAATATATATATATATATATATATGTTTCTTGTTGTTTTTATTTTTTATTTTTACAACTATCCTTGTATAAAAGGATTTAAAAAAAAAAGAAAAAATAAAAAGAAAAGGAAATAATTCATTCACCAAAAAAGAAATATATATATATATATATAAACAATTTTGTATATATATATTTTTAAATCTCATAATCTATCTTGTTCTTTTTTCTTCTTTTTGTTTAAATTTTGTTCTATCTCTTTTTCTTTTTTTTAAAAAAATGTCTTAGAATCCATTTCTTGTGAATGGATTATCCTATCTAATTTTTTTTTTTTCCTTTTTCAACATCCATTCACATCACATTAGTTATTATTATTATTGTTATTATTATTATTATTATATATATACATCCGCACACATCCCCACATAAATCGATTAAAAGAGGAGATAAGAAGAAAGGCATAATTTAAAAGGATATTTTTGTCTAAAAAGTAATGTTAGCAGGGTCCCATAAAAATAAAAAACTCAAAGTAATTAATGCATTTAAAACTAACCAATCCTAACTGCGACTGTGAATTGACTGTCGCTTGCGCGACTGCAATTAGCACTCTTCTTGTTTGGATACAGTTCAGAAAGAGTGATGACGTTTATATTGGAAATACAATGTAGTAATTGTGTAATTTATTTATTTATATTTTTTTAAAAGTTCAATTTTAAAACATCAAATGGGTAAATAAAATTGTAATATGAAGTTTTTAAACAGGAAAAGAATACCCATAATGCTATAAATCCCAAACCAATGTATATATTCCTACATATATACTAAACCAATGTATATATGTTACCTTTGCAACCATCAATGAGATAAGGGTTCCCTTGATAACCTGATGTGCAACTGCAACGATACCCAGGTCCGTTGGTTGAATTGAGGCATTGGCTATTAAGGGCTTGACAAGCATAGGTTGATGAGTTTTTCATAGCTTCTTCACATGTCTCATTTCCAACAGCCCAATCAAGCACCACAGGGAAAGTCTCTCGCTTTTGCAAATCCTTCAGATCCAAAGATGAGAAGCTAAAAGCGGCTTCTTCGACTACGAAAGCATAACCACTCGGATTAAAATCTCTTACAAGAGAATGATTCTTCAAGCTCGTGACAGCCATTTCAAAATCCTTGACTCCCTGCGGGATTGCAGTCTGGCAGCATCCGACACCCGCGCATGACCCGTTCGTCACACTCCCTACATGATCACACAGTGACAAACACCCAGTTGTGTAGTTCTCCCCCACAGTACCTACAACAACAGCCACTGTGTCACACCCAACCGCCGTAAACTTGTTCAGTGTGGTGGAGATGAAAAAATATCTCAGCTGAAGGAACGCCGTCTGTGCTTCTGGCAAACCAGTCTGGTTGTAGCAGTCTTGTGCTGTGTAAGACGAGACGTGTATTAGGCCATCGAGTGATACGTTAAGTACATGTATGTTGCTTAGCTCCAGAAATGGTTGGGGAGGGTTGAAATGTGTTTCGTTACAAGTGATGAGGAAGGAGGGGTCCAGGTAACAATCAGGGGTTGTGCCGAACGGGAAGGGGATGCTAAGGTTTCCGCAAGTGGTGGCGCAGCCTGGCTTGGTCTGAGATGCTGCCGTTGAAGGTGTTGCTGATAAAATTGTTCCAACCATAGTGAGTTGCACAAACAATATTGCGAAACCCATGTGCAATTAATTTGATGAAACTCTCCCTCTTTAATTATAGGGCTTGAATTGGTTTCACTTTTGTAGGGACAGATCAATTCTAATATGTTCCACATTTATGCAGACTTGGTCTTGGCATCTAGACTCCAAAGTGAAAACCATCACAATTGTCTTTTTTTTTTTCTGTTTTTTCGAAAAGTAAATAAATATTATTATTAATAAACTTTGAAAGGAACATAGTTAGCCCAGGTTAATCAAAATAAAAGCTCAAAGGCAGCCCCCGAGGAGCAGGACGCAACACAAAGCTGTGAACATAGAGAAGAAAACTCTCCCAACAGAAACTAAATAGTGTCTGGAGGCTTTGCCAGAGGACGGATAACGGAGGCTGGTAGCTCCCACTCTTCAATGATACTCCTGGAACTCGGCGGATAGGATTTGTAGCAGAATGAATTAATTGTGTTCGAATTAATTTGACTATTTTTAATTAAAAGTCTTTCTTTATATGACAAAGTATTGGTTTGGCAAATGTTGAGTCATATATAATGACAGAACACATAAACTATGAATATTTTCTATTACGGATTACCAAGTCAATTTCCAAAAACTTGTGTCAACCGGGCTCAAATAAATAAATAAATAAAAAGGACCTTTGAATAAGAAAAGTTGATTTGCTTACTTCACATTAGGATGGTTAGTTGTTTTATATTTTGTTTTTTAGTTAAAGTGGTTAGTAGTTTTATAACCTCAAAAAAAAACATTATGAATTTATTACACTAGTAGGACACTGATGGACACATCTACCAATATTCTGGAGTTCAAATACGGGTGGTTAATATCTAGCTCACATACTACTAAAGATAGAACTGTAAATGAATCAAATATTTGACGAAATGTTCAAGCCCGGCCCACTAAGAGAGCTAAGTTTGTTTAATAAACTAATCTCAGATAAGATTTTTAAACACATCTAATAAACGAACCAATCTTAAACAATCTCTAACTTAGTTGTATGTTCACGAAAGTGTTTGTAAACGGACTTGTTAATAAACAAGTTAGGGCTAGAGAAGATTATAAAAATAATTATATATTTTTATGCTATGAAAGACTTAGCCAACATATAATAGGCCCATTAAATATTTAGTTTTTCTTTTTAATTTTAAATATAAAATTCAACCAAACCCAATCTATTTTCATCATTCATTCATTTTAAAACAAAAATCATGTGCATTTATCTGATACAACCCACCCCCACGTTTTATTAAAGTCTCTCACTAATATCATTTTCACTTTTTGTAAAACAATCATTAACCCTAGCCGTAGCGGCAACGCCCTCAACGGTTTACCAAGGAACACCAGACTCCATAAAGACTGCAACCACTTGATGTATTTTATCATCTAATCTTAGCCCCTCACTTTCTCTTTTCTTATCTTACCTCTCTATTTTCAGTCATGAGTAGTAGTCCATCATGGTGAAGACTGAAGATCTATAAATAGGTTTCAACGATGATGTCTTAAGATCGGTGCATAGGATTCGATGATGATTTTTGGTATATACATGGAGAATGTTTATGTGGATTACAGGTAAATGACTCGAGCTCTATTCAAGCCGTGCTTGAGCTCGTCAAACAGCGTTGAGCCCAGCTTGATTATGGCTCAGAGCCAGGCTCGAACAAGCTAGAACATGAGTAGGATTTGCCGAGCAGAGCCTGAACACTGCAAAACTCGGTTCAGCCCTAACTAAAGCACTCGGGTGCTCTACCCTCTATTCTCTTATATAAAATTACAAAAACATCCTCACACAATGTTTGGTTCCTAATTTTTTAATCTCGCAAGTGTCCTTTTTTATTTACACGCTCTCTCTGTCACACATTTTCTTTCTATAAACTACTACTAAGATAGAACACACAGAATTAGAGATGCATACGGTCTGGTTCGGTATGGTTTCTGGTGAAACCGGAATCATTTCCAATGATTCATAGAAATTGAATCCAATGATTCATAGAAATTGAAACTAGAACCAAAATCGTTGCAACATGGAACCAGTTCCATGGTTCCAATTCCCTTTTTTATTTTTAGCAATACCTTGACCGTGCTAAGATGAAATAGACAAAACAATCATGGCCATTAAGCAAAGAACAAAAATAATACAACCCAAATAATCATATATAAATATATAGATAAGTGCAATAAGATCCGGATATTGTATCATTAATATGTCACATGCAAGTTTGTAACATAACAAAAACTATTATAACTTAGGTGAGCTAAAATACCAAGTCTTGGGAGTATCTGTTACCCTTTTACACATTACCAGCACATGAACATGAGAGCTAGGTGGTGACTACTAAAATCGTGATCGTTGACTTTCCAGTTTCCATGCGATGGCTTGCTCCTAAGATGCCGGCCTATCCATTTGTAGTACATTTTGATATATAATGTAGTACATGAAAACATACCTATATATATATATATATATATATATATTATTATATATTACGATTTTGATTTTTAATTGACATGTTTTACATGAATATTCTTCCAATAAGATTACAACAGCATATAATCGATGTATTTTAAAAAGTTTACCGTCAAACAAACATCAATAGGTATATATATTAGCGAGTATATAATAATAAAAATGTATAATTATTAGTATGATTCTGGTTCCTAACTGTTCCGGTTCCATAGTCTGGAATCGGAACCGGATCTTAACGGTTCCAAAAATTTGGAGCTGGAATCGAAGTACCGGTTTCGATTCTTATTTCTAACGGTTTTACTGGTTCTTTGTGCACCCCTTACTATTATAACTTAATAGAGCTAAAATACCTAGTCTTGGGGGTATCTGTTACCCTTTTACACAAAAGACCAGCTCATGAACATGAAAGCTAGGGAGTGAGTAGAATCGTCGTCCTTGAGAACTTTCCATGCAATGGCTTGCTCGTAAGACACCGGCCTGTTATTCATAATGTATTTTGATATATAATATAGTACATGAAAACATAAATTATATATATATATATATATATATATATATTACGATTTTGATTTTTAATGGAGAGGTTTTACATGAATATTCTTTTAATAGGATTACTGCAACATATAATCAGAGTATTTTAAAAAATTTACAACCAAACAAGCATCAATAGGTATATATATTAATAATTATATAACTAAAAATAATAATATATATAATATAATTATTATTAAAAATTATATTATTACTTTGAGTTTCTATTTTTATGGCACTCTACTAACATTGCTCTTTAGATAAAAATACCCTTTTAAGTTATCTAATCTTTCTTCTTCTCTCCTCTTTTAATCGAGGATGTGTGGTTATGTGAATGGATTTTGAAAAAGGAAAAAAGTACAGATAGGATAATTCATTCACAAGAGATGGATGGATTCGGAAAAAAATAAATAAATAAATAAAAAGAGCGAGAAAAAAAAAAAACAAAAAGAATAAAAAGAAAGGTAAAAACAAAAGAAGAAAAAATTGATTATATATTTTTTCCTTTTTTGTTTTTTCCTATATATATATATATATATATATATTTTTTTTTTTCTTTTTGTTTTTATTTTTTATTTTTACAACTATCCTTGTATAAAAGGATTTAAAAAAAAAAGAAAAAAAAAAAAAGAAAAGGAAATAATTCATTCACCAAAAAAGAAATATATATATATATATATAAACAATTTTGTATATATATATATTTTTAAATCTCAGAATCTATCTTGTTCTTTTTTCTTCTTTTTTTTAAATTTTGTTCTATCTCTTTTTTTTTTTTTTTTTTTTTTAAATGTCTTAGAATCCATTTCTTGTGAATGGATTATCCTATCTAATTTTTTTTTTTTTTCTTTTTCAGCATCCATTCACATCACATTAGTTATTATTATTATTGTTATTATTAATATTATTATATATATACATCCGCACACATCCCCACATAAATCGATTAAAAGAGGAGATAAGAAGAAAGGCATAATTTAAAAGGATATTTTTACCTAAAAAGTAATGTTAGTAGGGTCCCATAAAAATAAAAAAACTCAAAGTAATTAATGCATTTAAAACTAACAAATCCTAACTGCGACTGTGAATTGACTGTCGCTTGCGCGACTGCAATTAGCACTCCTCTTGTTTGGATACAGTTCAGAAAGAGTGATGACATTTATATTAGAAATACAATGTAGTAATTGTGTAATTTATTTATTTTTTTTTTTTTTAAAGTTCAATTTTAAAACATCAAATGGGTAAATAAAATTGTAATATGAAGTTTTCAAACAGGAAAAGAATACCCATAATGCTCTAAATCCCATATTAGTTATTAAATTCATATTATAAATGATGTAAGAAATATCAATTTTTGTTTCTAGAATAATATTATATATATATATAATTTAATTTGGTAGCTATAATGGGTGGGCGTTTGTCCATTTATCCAGAAAAACGTTAAGTTGTTAGGTAATGCTACATACCCACTCATTTATACATTTTTCAATTCTTATCTGGACCCAATGTGGGACAAGTCTCACTTGTAACATTCTTTCCCACCCGAACCCGCATAACTTGCACAACTAGGGGTGCAAATGAGCCGAGCTGATCTTTAGCTTGCTCGAGCTTGGCTCAGTGAGTTTCGAATGGTGCTCGAGCTCAGCTCGGGCTCGTCCGAGCTTGACTTTGGTAAGCTCGAGCTCGGCTTGCCAATATTTGAATAAGCTCAGCCTCGGCTTGGTTCAACCTCGCATTTCCGAAATTTTCTTCTTACTCATTATCATCTCTGCAAATCATCTCTACAAATCATTCTACTTTATCTGTAATGACCTGGTCATTTTCCTTCCTTTCCTTTTCTCAGATTTTTATGGAATTTTTTTTTTTTTCATTGTCTTTTCTTTTCTGAGTTCGGTTTCTCGTCACTTAGTGTCGTCTTGAGTGCTCGGGGATGGTTTCTGAGATTCTTTCCTTTGGATTGACAACGTCCTTTAAGGACCAAGTCATTTCCATATTTTCACTTTTTGGACACTATTTA